TCAGATACACAGTGGATATTTGTGGTATTTATTCATGCCTTTAACTCGTCGCAGATAGAAGCGCAGTCAAAACTCAGGACAAAATATTCGGTTCGTCAGATTGTATTCTTTAAAAGCATTGTAAGAAATTTCTTTCTCTTCTTTATAAGGAGTTTAGATTATAAACTAAAAGTAAGATTTATATGTGTGATGTGAGTTATCAGTATTTGGATTTGTCTCTCAAACTACTAAGTTTTATGCTTTTTCATTCTCTATTCTTGCTATATATATATATATGCATTCAGATGAGCTGTGGATATTTGTGGTACTTATTGATGCCTTTAACTTGTCGCAGATACAACAAATTGCATGGTCTGAACCTGCTCAAGGTTGCATATCCAGCTTTGATGCTCTCGATTTCCAATTAGAAATTCAGGTCAGTCATAGTCCCTGACTTTTGTATATTACAAACCATCCATATTCATTTATTTATCATAGTGACTTCAAAATTGCTACTATCTTACATAGTTGCTTGAAATCTGAAACTGATAAATAACTTTGTCCCTTTTGAGTTATATTCTTACTGTGTTGTATCAAATAAAATGTATGACCACTTTGTTGGTAAGAGAATACCTATTCCTCTCTCTGACGAAATTATTAGTATTCATTCATCTGCTTGAACTATACAAATTTAGTCTCTTTGTTACGGTTGACAGATCTTGTGTTAATATCTCAGTTACCAAGTGAAGCCAGCAGCAGTGAAGAGCAAGTCCCTCCTGCATTCATGAACTTTTCAATGTCGCAAAAGAAGAAAACAGTCGAGGTAAAACATGTTGTATGCTTATAGATCTTTTATACTTTTGTCATCTAACTCATCTTATTTTTACTTTTCTCATCAGGCAGAAGCTGTTCTAAAAGGTTTGGATGTTCAGATAACATCAAATCATAATATAGTATATATCATCTCTGGACTAAGTGAACAAATGTGCCAATATCAAAAGTATGCCAAAAATATAACATTATTTGCTCTCGTGTATATATTCTTTCTCTGAGTTTGTTA